GAGGGAGAGAGAGGGGGAGGGAGGGAGAGAGTGCATCCGTATCCATGCTGGAAAAGCATGACCTTCTCGCACGTTTTGGGCATTGATATTGAATTTCACTTCTGCAAAGTTGCTTCAAATCAAAGGCGTGTTTGGGTGTTGCGATTCCTCTAAATATTCTCTTCCTGTGGTTGGTGATTGGAATCACACATGACCAGCAATCCGCGGGTGCTGTCTGAAGTACTCTTCTTGCTAGCGTCTATGTGGCAATCTGGATCAGTTCTTTATCGACTCATTGATGCTGTACGAGCGAAGACAACATTTTGGCAGTCCATTTCCTCATGCCTGTTTTCTCAGTCATCGGAAGAGGTCCTGCTGCGTGCAATGTCAAAGGGCCCTGCACCATTATCATCCAATATTAACAAGGATTGGGCAGCAGTCATTGGATCAAGCACGATGGAACTGGATAGCCACCATGTGAGCAATGCCACTTTGAAAAAGCAGGAGCTGCTTTTCCTGGCGTATCACCTTCAATGTGAAGCATCAGTGCTGCAACTTGTTTCTTTTGACATCTTCCTTCATCAGCACATGGTGGATGCTAATGCCACGAGTAAAGAGAAGGAAACAGGCAAGTTGTTGCTGCTGGAGGATGGACAGGGGGGAGGCTTAGCGTCCAGTAAGGAGGCAGGTATGACGGCTGCACTCCAGGGTCTACAAGTGATATTGGAATGGTCAAAGCACTCATCTCTGAGTCCTGCTTCGGTGATGCGGCGGTATACTTTGAGTTTGTATGATAAGGAGACTCAGCGACGAGCTCAGGTTAGTTGTGCGCGTCACAGTGTCCATTATCCCCCACAATAGAGAAATAATGGAGCGTCCATCAGAATTGAGCTGTGGTTGTCCGCCAGTCCAGGAGCTGGATTTCGGAGCTGATTAGAAACTTTTAAGATTGGCCTCTTTTTGGAGCTGTTCCGTTGCGTCTGAAAAATTGGCAACTTCAGCCCATCTGACAAAAAACAACTGCTTCCTGTCTGAAAAATGCGGAAAAGGGCCCATGGCCCCATGCGGAAAAACCGAAATGCTGAGGGCCTTGTATATCCAAAGAATTGGCATGTGTGAGAGCCAAACTGTGCTGTGTCTGAAGTTTGTGGTTCGCAAACAATCAGAATGTGCTGGTGCCCTGTTCTCTCTCTCTCTCTCTCTCTCTCTCTCTCTCTCTCTCTCTCTCTCTCTCTCTCTCTCTCTCTCTCTCTCTCT